TTGCAATCTGCTCAAGGGCACTCAACAACAACAATAAGCATCATCAGGTGTCGCTCTCTCGGGCGGATCCCACCTCTTGCTGACACCAGTTTCTGCCAAACCAGTTCAGGGAGGCTGGTCCAAAAATCTCAGCCTCAGCCCATCCTGATACCAGCTGCTCCAAGCGGTACTCTCTCATCCACAGCTACCTGGAGCCAGGTTTGGGACACTGGCCACAAGCGTAGAAATCCAAGGGACTCCCTCCACTTCAGACCAGGGGCCACCCAGGGGCTGGGCCAGAGCACGCAAGTTAAAGGACACAGTCCTTGAGATGGCCAAATAGGCAGATGCCAGCCCCTGCTGGCTCTCACTGCGGGTTTGATAATTCATTGAAATGACTCCCAAAAAACTGCAGGGAAAGGGTAATCTTTACTCTAGCGGGGGTGGGGTGGGGGGGAGGAAGGATACAAACGCATAGGTGAGGCCCTGGAGGGAGGCCCTGGAGGGTGTCAGTGCAGAGCATCCACGCCGTCAGGGGATGTGCTTACCCTCCCAAGCGCTCACTCTCTTCAACCTGGAAGCTCCCCCGCGGCCCTGTCTTCCAAGACCCTTATTGATTGGTCTCACCATGTGGCCATGATCAATTATCTCATCAGGCTCCTGAGGCTTAGTCAATACGGGCCCTGTCTCAGGCTGGGTTCTCTAAAGAAGCAAAACCAGTAAAGCATATAAATATGTATAATATAGAGACTTATATCAAGGAAATGGCTCATGCAATTGTAGAGGCTGGAACATCCCAAGTCTGTGGGTCAGGATAGAGGCTTCTCCCGGTTCACATAGCTGCAGGGGCTGGTGAACCCAAAATCGGCAGGTCAGACAGCAGGGCTCTTGTTCAGAGGCTGGGAAGATCGACAGATCCCAAGATCGGCAGGAAAAATGCAAGTAAGCTACTAGCTCAAGTCCCAAGAGCCAGAGGTCAGACAAACAGGAGCCAGCTGCAGGAACCAGAGCCAGCAAAAGCCTACGAGCCTTGCCAGAACGTCCACTTACATTCGGATGCAGGCCACATGCCCAAGGAAACTCCCTTTCAACTAACTGGCTACTCCCAGCAGACCCCATCATGGAGGTGATCACATTATATCAAACCTCATCAAGGAAGTGGTCACAACATCAGATGACTGCTAAAACACCGAGAATCATGGCCCAGCCAAGTTGACACACAACCTTAAGCATCACAGGCCCCCAGGTGGTTGGCTCTCGGGAACCCACAACAAAAGATCAAATGGCTTTCTTACTTCACAGCACCCACAATATCTGTCACGGCGCCTCTAAGTGAGTAGATGGGGGTCACCAGCAGCGTCTGCCTAGAGGTTGACATTGCAAAACCAGGGAGTCCAGGTCCTGTCCTGCATTGCGGTTCCTTGTGGGAAGGTGTCTCTGGCACCCAGGTGGGTCCTGCCAGGTGGAGAGGAGTGGCTGGGGCCATACACAGGCAGGCACTCTCCAGGACCTAGGTACCCACCACTCCTCACTCAGGCCATGTTGGGGCCCAGCCATTCCCCTCCCCAGGCCCCACGCCCCGACAATATGATTGTGTCAAGAGGTGGTGGCTATCTGCCACCCCTAGGTCTGGTCAAGGGCTCGTCGCTTGCTTTGGCCCAGAGTGGTGAGGAAGTGATGACGGGCCAGCTCTGAGTCCAGGCCTCAAGAGACCTTGCGCATGTCTGTTTGCTCTCTTGCAGCCATGCCCAGACGCCAGGAGAACAGGTTGGGGCCAGCCTGCTGGACTTTGAGACATGTGGCCCAGTCACCCCTGCAGCCCCAGCTGCCAGCCAGCCAAATGCCAGCCACGTGAGTGCGCTACTGAAGATCAGCCAACCTTCAGCGGACCCGCCTGCCGACTGGAAGTGAGAGTAGCCAGTCCAGCCGTGTCCGACCAGAACAGCAGAACCAGGGTGTTGAGGCATCCACTTGTGGGCAACAGTAAATACTGAGTGGTTTGAGGCACTGGACTTGGGGATGCTTTGTTACCCAGCAAAGGCTGACTGATGCACCCCCCCAAAAAAAACCCAAAACCCGGTGTGGTTGAGTTGGTTCTAGCTCATGGTGACCCTATGTGCTACAGAGTAGAACTGCTCCATAGGGTTTTTCTGGCTGTAATCTTTACAGAAGCAGATTGCCAGGCCTTTCTTCTGCAGTGTCTCTGGGTGGGTTTGAACCACCAACCTTCAGGTTAGCAGTTGAGTGCAAACCATTTGTGCCACCCCGGGACTGATGCACCGACCCTGCATTTTCAGTTACTTCACCACCTACTCAGCTCCTGGGAGTAACTGAGTCTGGAAATCCTCATTCAAACTTGGCTGTGCACTAAGAATTACCCGAGGGATTTCCTTACAGTACAGCTTCCTGGGCTTCCCTCCTGGACAGCGGGATTCGGTAGATCATGGGAAGCCCCAGGTATCTGCGTTTTCGCCAGCATCATAGTTATGGGGTATAATCACATGCCATGTGATCCTGACACAAGTAGTCCACGGACCACACTTTAAAGAGAGAGACGAGTGGGTTTTGGCCAAGAAGGGAAGTTTATCTGTGGAAATGGAGAGGCAGAGACTGACTTCCCGGCCCAGGGTCTCAGGGACTGCATTTACTCTCCGTGTTGTTTCTTGACCTCTATAAGGTGTTAAAAAGGAAAGATGTCACCTTGAAGACTAAGGTGTGCCTGACCCAAGCCATGGTATTTTCAGTAGCCTTATATGCATGCAAAAGCTGGACAATGAGTAAGGAATATAGAAAAAGAATTGATGCCTTTGAATTATGGTGTTGGAAGAATATTGGCTATACCATGGATTGCCTGAAGAACGAACAAATCTGTCTTGGAAGAAGTACAGCCAGAATGCTCCTTAGTAGTGAGGATGGCGTACTTTGGACGTGTTATCAGGAGGGACCAGTCCCTGGAGAAGGACACTATGCTTGGTAAAGACTGCCATATCCTTCTCCTTTGGGGAGTGGCTGGTGGGTTCGAATCACTGATCTTCCGGTTAGCAGATGAGTGTTTAACCACTATGCCACCAGGGCTCCGCAATAAGACGAATAGGAACGTATGTATCAGATGGAGGTAAGGGCTAGGAGGAAACAAGCAGGGAAGGGTTACAAGGACTGTTGAGGGTTCCGTTTTTAGTTTTAGATAGCGCCACTTACAAGTCCTCAAAGGCTCTGGCAGTGGAGAGGGAGGAAGTATCCCAGGAGCAGGAACAGCCAGTGCAAAGGCCCTGAGGCAGGAGTGTTCCTGAGCTCCTGTGCACGTTAGGGTAGAGCTGGGAGAAGAGGGGAGGAGGGAGAGGGAGCAGATACATGGGGACTTGCAGGTCAGTGAAAGGCGGTTAAATCTTGCTCTGAGTGAGACAGAAAGACACTGGGGATTTTGAGCAGAAGAATGACATGATCTGGTATCTAAAAAGTGACATACTTTTTTTTTAGGACCACACAAGCTGCTTGCAGACAAAGTGCTGAAGGGGGCCAGAACGAAATATGGGAAGCGAAAAGAAGCGCTGTCTTAAAACAGCTTAGAAAGGGTGCAGTCCCTGGGTGGTGCAGACAGCTAAGGCGCTTGGCTGCTAACTGAAAGGTTGGAGGTTCTAGTCCACTCGGAGGAGCCTTAAAAGACTTTGGCCATCTATTTCCTTTCCCAGTGAAAAATCAGCCTTTGAAAACCCTGTGGAACACAGTTCTACTGTGACGCACATGGGGTGGCTATGCGTCCGTTCTGACTGCACCAAACCGCTTTGAAGGAGTGGCGGTTGGGGGCCGGGCAGGAGCGGGTGGAAGAGTTGGGGGGCAGCAGTTGGGTTTCGTGCAGGTAAAGTGAAGAGGGCGTGTTGACTACGGAGGAAGGAGAGAAACTGAGAGAGCGGAGAGGCAGGGATGACTTCAAGGGTTTGGTCTGAGCCGTTGGAAACAATTCCAGAAAAAAACGATTGTTTGATTTGTGTGTGGTTTTCTGTAATTTGATATGTATATATAACCCTTGGTCAAAATTTCCACAATACACAGGGCCTTTAAGACGTTCGGACCTAAACATCCGTTTTAGTATTAAATCACGCCACTTGCCCAAAGTCTTCCTGGGCAATACTGGCAAACATCTGAAGCGGGGAGCATTTAAAACATGACCCGTTAAGCCGCAAGGCTGGGCCGCGCCGCCTGCGCACGAGCAGTGAGGATGGTCTTTCCCGCTGACAGAGACGGGAAACCCCGGAGCCCACGCGCGGCCCTACGCCTGACACTCCCACCGGCGGGGCGGCGGGCCGAGGCCGGGCACACGCGCG